AGGTATGTAACTCCTCAGTGATGTTGTTATTTAACAGGTATGTTTTCATTATGCTATTAATGACCTCTGGATTTACTAACTCCTGACACAAGAAAGATTTCAGAGATGCTTAACATAAAATAGGAAATCTTTTCCTGTGGGTATTGCTCACATTAGGTCAGGTAATACCTAGTAATAAATTTACTATTTTGTATTTTGGAGTCTCCTCCAAGGATGCCCATAAATTTCATACAGAGCTGAATTCATGTCCGACCATATTTTCACGTGTATATGTACCTGTATATATATAGATAGATACAATCTTCACCTTTTGTTCCTCCCAATAAACTGTACTATTTTTCATCAGGTGTGGAAGGAACCAGTCTTTTAAAATTAGATGCACAGGGTACATCTGTGATGAAATTTAAAGAAACTGCTCTCAGATACATGGGAAGGAATTGTAGCTAATGATATGATAAAAAATTGTTTTATTTCAAGAGCCTGTAAAATAGCAGAATGTCCTGAATATTCAGAGGCTTTCATAGTTGTCTTCATTCTACAGAAAACGTTACTCGAGTATGTAAGACTTTTGCAAACTTAGGAGGGTTTAGTTTAAATTGAGGATTTTAAAGTCTTGCCAAGAGGCTCAAATGACCTTTGAAATTGGAATGCTTCCTGAGCTCAGTCAGAATGCTCAATCTTTTTAAAACTAGCTCCTGCAATTATTTGCAAATGCACCTTTACTTCAGTTTGAATTCTGAGCACAAGAAAACAGCTCTTGTTCTCCTGTACTTAAGGCACTGAGTAATAGAGACCAGTTTTGAAAACTCATCACTGGAGCCATGGCAGAGGACCCTGAATTCTGCTGTTGAACTCCAATCATGTAAGCTGTGTCAGGCAGATCTGCAAAGAATTGGAACCAGATATTTTTGTAATGCAATGACATCATCTTGTTCCCCGAGGTTTCCAGAAATCTTCTTTGCTCTCTGCATACAGCAGTGTGCTCATTTCTGTTAAGTCATTCTAAACTGAGAGTAGTTCCTTCCACTGAAATGGGGTCATATAATTGTTTTAAAACCGGTGAATTAGATCCTGGAGTCTTGGGGTTTGTGTATAGATAGAGTCTTGAATGAAAAAGAGATAGCAGAGCCACAAACGGCAGTTGTAATTTTTGCTTGCTTCACAGGAGGGTGCTCAGCCTCTGTCTTTACGGGCAAGGAAGAGCAATTCCCATGGTCATTAGAAAGAAGTGCAGAAGCTGTTTTCTGAACTGGTCTATTCATGTAGTAACATTGAAGCTCTGTTAAATGCAATTACTCAAAAAATACTCAGCTGTTAAAGAATTTTAGGTGTGTGTTAATTGCTGTTGGAAGACCATTACAAAGGTATTTAGGTCAGAGATGTACTTTAATGATCATCCACTGTGTAAGACATTGGTATTTTCTAGTGGGTGTGCCTAAAGGTGCCAGAGTTTTTAATAGAATCTTTGAAGTTTGTCAAAATTGTTTTTTTTCCCAATCTAATGTGTTAATCTCAATGTGTGAATTGTGTGAATCCTTCTATTGAATAATGACTTCTCATGTATATAAAAACCTAGCCCAAGTGGTTACGTTTGATCTGTACTACCTGTTTATGTTTATATCCTTAATTATTCTTTATTTTCTGTCGTACATAGTAATGTATTTTAGGTTTAAAAACCAAAGTAATGTTCTACCATAAGTAATAAAATTGAAATGTTTAAAAGTTGTATTTGTTTATTTATTTGGGTTAGTGTTTAATAGTCTTCAACTCACACAAAAAAAAGTCTGTCTTCGTAATTATTAGGATTGTCTGCCATAAAACGTTTTATTTGACTAACTATAACCTGAATAAATGGTGAGAGAAAGAATCTTGTAGTTACCACTATATAAGAAAAATGTTGATTTGAGTGGGTGAAAGTTGACTACCTTTCTGTTTACCTTCTTAGAGATCAGTTAAACAGAGGTCTTGGATGTTGTTATGTGGTCAGAATTTAGTGAGTGAGTTAACACTTTCTGTCTGCAAACAGTTAGCTAAGCTTTTGTCTTGTACAAGGTCAAAATATTCTGGCCCTCTGAATGCATGTCCATTTCAAGTGCTAAGGAAAACCAGTTGTATTTAAAAAGCATTAGCATTGTAGAGAGATTTCCATATATTTCCTTTCAGAACCTTCAGAATAAATACAAACACAGAAATAGAGTAGGCAAAACCTTGTTTGTTGTGTTGTATGGGATTTGTCCCATTAACGTCAGCATGTAAATATTTGCTTCACTTCAGTCAATGTTTACTTCACTGGTCAATAAGACCTGGTTTGCACTTCATAAAGTTAATGCTTACCTTCTGGTTTTAGTTTGGTGCAAATATATCAAATTCTCTGTTTCTAGCATTATGGAAGGCGTTTTTGCTGCTTTTCTAACAAAAATAATTTTTTATTAACAGATGTGTGTTAGTTTATTAGCAAGTCTTATCCACAAGTAAGACCACGTGCATCATGTAATAAAATTATCCAGATTATGCCTATAACATTTCACAAGTACAGGAAGGATAATAAAATATAATAATAAATAAATAATTAACAAAAAAGGGAAAAAAAAAGGTAAAATTACTAAATATATTACCAAATATAAAAATAATTGTATAAAACTGTAAACCAGGAATTCCACATCAGTGGCTTTTTGTGCTTGTTTTGTGCCAGTCAAGTTCTCTGGTAAAGGAAAATATGTCATACTTCATTAAGCGATGATTTGGTACTTTGTTTATTTCTTGCATAAGATACATTAATTAGACTGAAGGAGAACCTCAGAAACAAACATTTAGATTTTTGGGTGGTATAAATATAAATGCTATGGGGGTTAGATCTGGATAAATCAACATATCTGAAGGAAATGCTTGGCATCTAGATCTAGTGCATAATTCCTTGCATATCCCAACTTCCTCTGAAAGAACCACAGAACCCTTCTGCAGGTTCTGTTTTTTGTGAGGTGTGTGGTCTTTTTATTTTGTTTGGGTTTTGTTTTTTTTTAGTCTTTGCATTTTGCAGATTTGTACTTCATGCTCAAATGCATTAAGAGAAGAAAAAGAAATGGGGGAGGAAAAGAAAAAATGTTATTTGTGGTAAATTTGCTTTTGCCTGATGCCATTGCTTTCATCTTTGCTCCTCTTCAGATTTTTATCTTGAGAAGTGTCTTTAAAGATTCTCAGCTCATAATGAGTGAGCACTGCCCTGATCCTCGCTTTGGAAATCCTGGACTTCAGATGGTCAGCTGGAGTGCCCACTCACCGGTTTAGAGTGCAGTAGGAGTGAGCATTGGGTGCTTTTGCAAGAACACACAGTTTGCTCCCTGTCATAAATATTCTCCAGTATTTTGAAGAAATTACAGTCATATTTTCTATATCTCTGATACAAGTTTCTAACTTACTGTTTGTTGCAAGGAGATCACCATAGAATCGTTGTGTCCACCAACTTACAGAAGTGGCAGAAACTGAACCTTTACACCCTTATAGCTGACTAGTCTACGTTTCCAAATTCGACACTTCATTTCTGTGGAAGAATTTTTCCCCATGCATTTCATACTTATATCATGCTTGTGTCTATGCCTATTTTTCAGGGGTTTAGTTATGAGTTGATACATGATAGTAAGAGGTGTTTGACTTTCAACCTGCCAGAGGCTTTGTCTGCAGCATATGGTTAAGAGATAGTGCCATTTACTTGGTGTCTGGTCAAAGAGATAACACTGTTGTTTGTTAAGCAAGACACATTTATTATCTTGCTGTAATACACACTTTTCTTGCAGTGGCATACTTAAAACCATTTCTGAGGAGGCAGAGAAAATTCAGTGTGTTTGCAGCTATGGCACAAAACAGAATTTGTGTCTTCTTGCAAAGATCTCCAATACTGACCCTTAGAGAGGCAATTTTATGATTTATACAATTAGAGATAAGGGTGAGGCTGTTTAATTCATTTAATCTTACAGTCTGAGTCTTCAATTGAACTGAAGTCTCTGAACTAAATCACAGCACACCCATTTCCCTCAAACTGTCAAATAAAACATCTGTTTATGATAATCATTATCTTAATTTAATAGTGATTTCTAGCTCACTTAGTACTTTTCTTCATGAATAGAAAGAATTAATGGAAGACTACTTAGAAGAGTACTTACTACTTACCTAAGAGCTACTTACAGAGTAAAACATTGGTGAAGGAATGTTGGAATTAATCTTATGCTCATATGTAGCTCCTTTCAAGAGACATTATAATGATTATGTGAGCTTGCACGAGCTGAAGTCTGGCGTTGTCTTCCCTATTTTTAGTAGAAGGTGACTCTCCTGTCCACCAGTTTCCGACAGGCCTCTGACTGCTCGTAGATCAAAAATACAATCAAAATATTTGCTGAGGCCTTTCAAGATCCAGCAAGTTAGAGTCCTTTTTATTGATGTAGCAGCTGAAGTGCCAGCATTTCTAAGTGAAAATCATACAACTTGGTAGTCTGAAATTAGGCAAGAAATCCATAGACAAATACATAAACAAAAAGCCTTTTTCAAGTGATGAAGAAAGTCCTAATAACTGGGAGGCCTGAGCATGCCTGATGAAAACCAGGCTTCCTTCTATGTGTAAGTAAGGATCTGACTGTGTAACTTCAGGCATTCAAATTTGAAAAGTTTGGTCTACCACTCCCTAACTTCTGCTTTTGATACCGAGTTCATCACTGCACTGCTTGGGGGTGCACGTGTTTGTTTCTTTGTTTTGAAACCATTACAGTTATAATTTGACAGCAGCTTCTTAGAGAAAACCAAATGGGGATGTCAACTGTATGAGCAGGGGTTTGGAGAAGGAACATGTGGTTGAATATATACAGACCAATGAAAGATTCCTTTCAGCTCAGTGACAGTGGAGAGAGCTAGAGAACAACAGCATAAGGGGAGATATAGGTAGATTAACCTAGACGTTCAATATGTCATAGCACTGGTAAGATTCCATCTGTTAATGTAATGGATGCCCAAAACTTTTTGCATGTGTGTGGATGTGTGCATACATACTTTTCCAAACTTCCAAGCTGTGCATCCTACCTTACAGAACTTACTGTAATATCAGAGGGTATTTCTTTGTGCCACTTGTCAGAAAGGGCCTGCAGAATGTGTTCTGCACAATCTTCAGTGGGGCCAATGTTGTGTTTGGTTCAAATCCAAGGCTTGCAGGGGGTTGGCATTTTTGTTTTAAATTTCTTAAATGGATCACAGTGATAACGGCAACTGAGCAGCATTTGGATTTCTGTGTGCAGCAGAGCATTGTTTTATTTTAACATACAAGAAAATATGAAACACTACAGCAAAATAATATCTTTAAATCCTGCCCAGGGTCTGCCCACTCAGATATCCAGCTAATATTTTGTAGTACATTCAGCAAAAGACATGAAGCAATGATAATATGGTCAACAGAATTGTTTTACATTTTTCACTGTTTAGATCCTGATAGAGTAATTATGCTCTATCGTGCATAATTGCCACAGTGTTAAAATGTAATTGTAAAATGCATTACTCTTTTAATCCATAATTGAACCTTTATACAGGCCATGTAATCATCTACATACAGAACTATTCATCTGTGACTATTTAACAGGTGCACATCATTTATGTCTGTTCTTTTTTAAGCTGAACTTACTTCTGTTGAACTTCACCAAGTTAACCATTTTTCAGCCTCCAACACTGCAGTAAAATTGTACTTCCTTAAATCTGGTTTGCTTGCAGACAGGGTCTGACACAGTAGATTTAGTACAGCTGCAGTATTAACGTTCAAAACTCCCAAGCTGCACAGTTTTCCCACATGCTACATAAAAATGCTGTACAGTTTCTCTCTGCAAGGCTCCTCTATTAGGGCATTAACTGACTGTGTGCCTCCAATTTGGTTAGTGTTTTCATTTATATGTAATGTTTTACACACTCACCCGGATTACTATTTATTGCAAAGGAAGCATCGTAAAATAATAATTTTACCCAATTTTGGCTTAACATTAATTTTCAAACTGTGAAACTCAATGGAAAATAAATCTGGAGAGAAAGATTCAGAATCATGAAACAAAATGAGTTGCTAAAGAATAACTAGTGATTATATGTATTCTTAACTACCTATAAGAAAAACAATGGTGATTTTTTTCCACAATTATAAAGGCAGCAGAATGGATTTGTGTATCCTGTAATATTGGAAAGTGGGAAAATGCTCAGGAATCCAGGGCATTGCTTTTATCATCTCCCATCACAACACTAAGATCTGTTCATTCAGTTTCATCAGCTTTTCCATGGGTTTCAGAATAAATCAGTGCATAACTGAAGGTAGGTTTGTAACTTATGCATCAAAAGATGGAAGGAAACGTGGTTTCTTTGAAGACCTGAATGTAGAACCCTGACGGTTTGGATGATGTTGAGTTTCCAGTCAAGAACGAAGTGGACCAAGCCAGATTCCAGTTTAGGTCTTTCCATCTGTATGATAGGACTGTGTGCTTCCAGTTTGATAGCCATCTGCCTGCATGTCTTTTAATCCCTAAAGGCAATGAATGGCTTCAGTGCCATGACTTTAGCCTCCTCCAGTTCTTTCCATGTCAAAAGAAGTTCTATTTTCATCTTCTACAGAAATACTTCCTAACCTTTATTTTACCAGGAGTCGTTTATAGCAAGCAACTAAATTTTTTGCACCTTTATCAATTTTTCTATCCAGATTTGGAAATCACTTGTCCCCTCTTTATTCAGTCTCTGGGGGTCCCTCCCCTCCAGAAAAATCTCAGTTTTGGTTTCTTATAGAGTCAGCAGTGGAGGATAGGGAGCAGTGCAAAACTCTTGCTGCTGCTGCGTCTCCTGACAGGGGTGCAGAGCCCTAGAGGAAGAAACAGCATAAACATTCTTCATAAAGCAGAGAAAATAGGTGCAGGCAAATATTTTAAATTGAACTATAATGAAATTATTGTTCATGGCCCAGCTTCTACCTTACATCCAGAATCTGTCATTTAGGTGATTGGGCCAGCAGGTGGCAAATCTAATTGAATTCAAGAAAATAAATAAGGAAGTAGGCTGGGGATTGTTTGCTAAAAAGAAGACATCTAGTTTACTAATTAGCAGGATTTATGGGATGCTGTACTTAAAAATAGATGATTATTGATAGCTCATCTTAATCACGAAAGCTACCTTGTAGTTTGTTAACTAAAAGCAGGTTTGCTGCAGCAGTCAGACGTGTGGTCACAATGTGCACAGGGAAGATGACCTGGCATTAATCCACCTGGCATGGACAGCAGTGTCTCAGGAACAGGGCAGGGGTTGTAGGCTGTGCTGCTGCAGCCGTAATGCTGCTGGTTTTAAGAGCTGCAGCCTGAGCACCTGTGTGCATTGGGTTGCACTTCTTACTGCAGTGGAGACATTGGTGTAGAAAGGAAGGGGTTATATCTGGTTCTGTGTTAGCAATAACCTGGAACAATAGACCCACTGCACTAGACACTTGTTTTCATCTGGAAACTTTATGAAAGGCTGCACAGCAACAGTGTTATTAATTAGAGAGGCAGTAGGAATAACCATGGTATATTGCATCTGTCTTTGAATTAGATAGAAAGAAAAGCTGGAATTCTTTTTAATTATAAGAGAGTGTAAAAATTATAGGGCTATAGGAAACTAAGATGGAGATTGCTTTTGAAATTGTCATATATCTAAATCAATCTAAAGGTATTTTAACAGAAATTGGAAGTAGGTATTAAACTAAACTATTTCTCAGTGGAGACTAATGAAGTGGAAGTTAAATCAATTTTTGTTTTGTTTAAAGGAAATAGTGGTAGCGACTCTGACATTTAGGTCAGTATTGTCTCTCATTAAAATCATTTTAATGTTCAAAGCTGTATCAGTTACTGGTGAGCTCATCATGGCAGCCGTTTATGAATTACACATTTGCCTATACCATTATATAATCCATTTCTCTGTGCTACACTTTGGAATAATTTGAATATGAAATATATCAGGAAAACAAAGTTGTTTTGTTCTAAGTGAAGAACTTGAGCAGAACTATTCCTCACAAAAAGCAACAAACATCCAGAGTGAATCACCATGAAGGAGATTGCAGCTGAGTTTGTAAATATTATTTGAGAGACTTAGATTTCCTTCTGAAAGGAAAGACATTAAGGGATATTTTGTAAATGTAGAAGGGGAATAATAACAAAACCCCCTAGAAGATAAATCTGTCTCACCAGCCTTTTTGCTATTTCATGTCTAACATTCATTTTGGAGGTATAACAGTTGCATCAATCTGAAGCTACTTTAGTTTTATGTGCTTGGTAAAATGGAGTTGATTCATAGGGATCTGGTCTGTTCTCTTCTGTCACCTAATATTTCTGTTCCTATGTCTGAATGTTATTTTGAACAACCATATACTTTTTTTTTTTTTTTTTTTACAGTTTGGAGAATAATAGCTGAAAGTTTCAAGGTAAAGTTTTTATATTCATTCTCATGCATTCAGTTGTTCTTCCTTATTGCATATGCCTCCAAGTAATCTGTAGTGATTAAGATGCAATGCCAAAGTAAAATAATTAATTACAATTTAGATTGGAAATAGGTTAGTTTCATTTAGTATTTTAGAGTTATGATTTCAGCTGTTCTTATGCCCAGCAACAAATAAATTAAGAAACAGGGAGTGCAAAAGCCACGTGCTTCAGTGTTGAGGCAACTTTTCATTAGGATCAAGGGAAGAAGAGGGTTTTTTCAATGCAGGAGAGTTGCACTTTGCATTAGAGAGAGTTTTTCTGAGCAGGGGCTTCTGACACCTCAGGAGACTGTATTTTTCTTGACTTGCTAGGAGCCAATATGTTTAGAGATGTCTTAAACTATTTGCCATTCCTCAGTGGCCTTGGGAAGAACACCATTTTGGTCCTGGAGCTTCACTCTGGGTATTGACTTCGCTCTTGAAAGACTGATGTGTCTTACAGACTATCCAGCCTAGTGTAACAACTCTTTTAGTTTACTTATGACTTGTTTGCAAAATTATTTTTGTATTTTGTGAGTGAGACAAAGTTAGACTTTGGTACTTGTGCTACTTGTTTTTTTGTGTGTTTGTGTTTAATGCAGCTGGAGGTTATTATGTAAAATGAGTTAGTTTGAATCTTTAAAGGAGCTGCCAACTTGCATTTGCCTGATTTACTTCAGCAGTGGAGGAGAGGAAGAATTCCAAACATGTCATCCTGATTTCACAAGTCTGCAGAGGTCTCCAAAGTGGACTTGTCCATCTGTGTTAGGTAGTAAATAGCACTCTACTTTTGTTACATGCAGGTGCCTCTGTATGTGCACTCCCTCTCTGTATACAAGTAATCTGTAGATCTTATCTGTCTAGACGTGTACATACACTTTCTGGACTTAAGCCACTGAACACTAATTATGTATAAAGTATCTAAGTGTTCACACAGGCATACAAGATACAAAGAAATGTAACTATTTTTCTTTTGAAATAACACAAACAGTAAATAATGGTTGAGCAAATAACCTTGCAATTTAATTTTTGTTTCAGTTCACAATGCTATTACATGGCCCTTGAAAACTGTAGAGTAAGAATGCAATGATAAATAAGAAAAGACAATCCATCTTGTTTTTTCATTAAGGGACTATTTTCTCACTACACTGCTGAAGGAGATGTCTTGATTTGCATTTGGGTATGAAGATTCCTTATTCTCAAAATAAATGCAGTGTAATAACTTGGGTTTGCAATTGTTATTAAAGGTGAGTGCTGGCTTCCAATTCTCAGATGTTAATATTAATTTTGATCTTAATAAAAATTGCTGTGCTAATTATCAATATATTACTTTTAACGTTTTTAGCAGCATTTCTTAATGAATGTTGAAGAGAATGACTTTCTGTAACTTCCTTGCATTGCACTGGAATTCCATGGTAGATGTAGCAGTAGCATTCAGTTCCCTAGATAGCATCCATCCACCTTAATCATGAAACTGCCTCTTCTTTTATTTTCCTTTTCTATTAATTACAGTTTTGGTTGTTTGGTGGGATTTTTGTGGTTTTTTTTGTTTGTTTTGTTTGGCCTTTTTTGTTTTGTTTTTAATTTCTGGAACAAATTAAAGCAGAGTGCTATAAACAAATGACTTCTTAATTAATAATAATGATTTAGTTCCAGTGCATAGCTTTTATTTTGCTGTATATGAAACATAGTGGCCAAATACTGTAGAATGCAGCACTGGGTTAAGTGTATTTTTAGGCATAGGTGGATTTTGTGATCCTACCGCTTGAAGTCATGTTATAATGCCTGTCTTCTACGTCATAGAAGCTCTTGCTACTTTGAATGTTCCTTGCATCACAAAGTTGTAGTTCACCCTGTGTTCCTCTGCCACTCTCTCATCCTTCCTCAGTGGCTGTAATTCTGTAATTGCTTGATCTGACCAACAGCATTTGAAGTCAAAATGACATCTTTATCTCACATCTCCTTGAACATACGAGAGTTTTCTCTGTTACAGCAGATAATTGTTATTGTATTTGCAGTAGTACCTTGTATCTGTTTAAGCATTGGAAATGTTTTTGTATTTTTAGAGTCCTGTGTGGTTGGCAAAAACTGACAGTTGCAGTTATAATAACCCCCTATCATAGCACAGGTGCAGAACTTACCTTCTCTCTAATGTTCTTCCAAAACAGAAAAAAATATTGCATATGAACATTATTAATTCACTAAATATTCAGGGACAGTACTTACCTCATAGTTATAGACATTCCTCCCCAGAATCTATTTTTATTGTGTTCACCCATCCTGAAGTAGCAAAAGGCAGGAGGGAAGGAAAAAGGAGACTTTGCTTGCTCAAATCTTGACTTCAAAAACAGTGAGGAAGAAAATAACCCTAGTGTCTGGGTTTCAAAACCAAGGCACCAGGACAGCCAGCTGGTGGCGATTTCTAAGCAGCTGTAGTGGATGTTGTTCACAGTTCTCTGCTTTGACAGTTTTTATGCTTTGTTGTTCAATTTTGTGCGTGAATCCACTGGCATCATCTTCATTGTGGGAGAGCATTTCCCCTTCTAAAGAGTTTCTGTCGAATCTCCTGCAGCACACAGAAATTGTGCTGTACCTTTCAGCTGGGTCCTACAAATTAAAGCCTCCTAGTGTAGCCAAAGCACATTCTCTTTGTTGTTGTTTTGCACTCTGTATCCATGAAGGGCCCTGGACTTAGTTTTTAAAGGAATAATTATACTATTTAAATATTAAACATCAAAGTTCTTCTTTTGTTGTTAAACCAATATTAAAGTAGGACAAAACTGATTTGCAGTTCATGGTATTGCATTCCAGAACTGCTGGCGTTGCAGCTGATGTCCTGTTTCAGCAATGTTGGCACTGCCAGGAGGCTCAGAAATGCAGACTTTAATCAAAAACTTTGAGATACACTTCAGTTAAATTACAAATTAATCTTTCCTTGTGAACTTCCAAGCTGTTAAAAAGAACAAATGGCTGCAGCTTCCTTTAAAACAATTCAAAAGCCTGCTTTTCATCAGCATATGATTTCAGTATAGTGGAAGTGAAGGCTGTGTGTCTTTTTCTCACAGATTGTTATTTAATCACTATATATTAGCTTTCATTTGCCCTTTTGATATATTTAAGCTCATAAAATTCTCATTGAACAGATTAAATTTACCATTATGTTGTTACTTTTTATGAGTAAAATAAATCAATATCAGATATGTTGGCTTGCACTGAACTGTTTATTTTAAGGGATGTTTAAACTTTACTGAAAGAAAATAGAAGGTCTGATGCCCAGTCCTCCACTTTAAATTTCATTATTTGGTAACACTTTGAGATACAGCCTGCCTCAACTAGCAAGTGCCATGCATATCATCCAGCGATACAAGGCCAATAAAATTCCCTAACATTCTCTGAAATGTAATATATTTTGCACTATTCCCAATATCTAATATGTAAGTACTTGCAAGTTGTTTTATTATTGTAATACTAAGTTTTCATTTCATTATTAGGGAAATATCCCAGAGTAGGACTAGTATTTTTTTTTTCCACTGCAAAATACCAACTCCGTGGTGAAAATGTCTGTCTGATATCTCATATATATATATAGTAAAATAATAAATTCTTTCAAAAGACGCAGTCCTCAATCAGAAATCAAATGCTAGCAGGTCAATGAAAACTGCCTTCTAAAATGTATTGCCCAATTCTTAATATTTATGGTAGCCACAAAACTTGAAAACATCTGTTCTGCAGGGAAGTACCTCTTTAAAATAAACTCCAGCAGCAAGAGCTCTCTCTGAATTCAGAGTCAGAACTTTGCTTTGCAGGAGTTAAGTGAGCAGCCATGATTCCCCAAAAGTGATAAAAAATGTTTAGTTCTTTTGATTACGGGGAAACAGGCGCTAATTTCACTTTAAGGCTGTAATCCTCAAATAGTCTGTACAAACCAGCTGACTTTGTCTACAAATCTGAAGTGTTCAGAAATCATTGCGTCTCTTTTGTCATTGAATTTTAAGGTGTTGTTTCTTGCTTTTTTGATTGTTTAATGTATGTTTATTATTGTTCGTCAGGTGAAGTTCCACATAGGCAATTGCAAAAGCATGTACAGTGGATATAAAAACTTGGGAAGTACTTACATCAGTATAATCATGTAATAACAGCCCAGACTTTGTGCTTGGTGGAGGTATTTTGTTCGGATGCAGTGTTGCTTCTGTAGGCATTTCTTCACCAATAATATATGCTATACAATCTTTACGATTGTATTAAATAGCTAATTAAATGGGGTCAGCTTAACCTTTCTTGATGATTAGGAGAAGGCATCTCATCCACTGGAAAAGCTAATTGTGTTGGGTGGAGCATCTTGTTCTTGTTTGAATCATGATCTCTGTTTACATTCACACACATTCATCACCTGAACCAGGCACCTTTTGGAAAAAAAGGGGGTATGCCCAGAGCAGTTTTTCAAATGCTGTATAGGTAAGTTATAGATGAGGGTTCATTTCCCTTCATTCTTCTCTATAAGCAAAATAGGAAGACATTTTGAATTCATAATGCAGAATAAAAGCTGTATTTCCAAAGTACACAAAGAACTGTAGTTTGTTTTCAAATAACTTTTAAAGGCGAGTCCTCCAGGCTCATCAGCTGAACCGTCTTGTTCCTCCGTGAGCATTCTTCAGCAGTAGCACTGCAGTATTTTCCTGGTAATTTTCATTCTTTTCCAATTATTATTGTTGTTATTTTATAACTCTGTTTGTCTTCATCCTGTGGTCTGTTCATTTTTTTGCATGCTAGTGAAAGCTTCTTGGTCATTTTCCCTGTCCTTCCCCTCAGTCTAATATTTTCTGCCAGCTTTTCTTGCCCTAATGCCTTTTATTTGTTTGTTTGTTTGTTTGCTTGTTTGTTTTCCTGCAATGGCTAGTTCTTAGAATCATAGAATCATAGAATAGTTAAGGTTGGAAAAGACCTTAAGATCATCTAGTTCCAACCCCCCTGCCATGGGCAGGGACACCTCACACTAAACCATATCACCCAAGGCCTCGTCCAACCTGGCCTTGAACACTGCCAGGGATGAAGCATTCCCAACCTCCCTGGGAAACCTATTCCAGTGCCTCACCACCCTCTCAGGAAAGAATTTCTTCCTTATATCCAATCTAAACTCCCCCTGTTTAAGTTTGAACCCGTTATCCCTTGTCCTGTCACTACAGTCCCTAATGAAGGGTCCCTCCCCAGCATCCCTATAGGCCCCCTTCAGATACTGGAGGGCTGCTGAGGTCTCCATGCAGCTTCTCTTCTCCAGGCTGAACAGCCCCAACTTTCTCAGCCTGTCTTCATATGGGAGGTGCTCCAGCCCCTGATCATCCTCGTGGCCTCCTCTGGACTTGTTCCAACAGTTCCATGTCCTTTTTATGTTGAGGACATCAGAACTGCACACAATACTCCAGGTGAGGTCTCACAGGAGCAGAGTAGAGGGGCAGGATCACCTCCTTCGACCTGCTGGTCACGCTGCTTTTGATGCAGCCCAGGATACGGTTGGCTTTCTGGGCTGCGAGTGCACATTGAAGCCAGCTCATATTCATTTTCTCATCAGTCTTGCCTTGGTACAACCATTGCTTTTATTGCTCATAGAGGAGTACATACATTCAAATGCTCCATATGTTGTGGCTTCTGTCATCAAGGTTGGAAAGACCAAAAGGAGAGGTTGCAGAGTGACCTTCTGGCAATTTTTCTGTCTTCCCTCCACCCTACATTTGAGGCTTAGGAGTTCTTCTGATCCTTCTTTGGGAAGGACTCTATAGCTCAGTCAGAAGTGTTCATACTGAAGTCTGGTTTATTTTGATCATGAAATGTCATTATGGTTATAAATTGCTGCTTCTCAGGAACAAAATGGTGGGATTATGGGTGATCTGTGAACTCAGTGTTCCATGGTCCAGAGAGCAAGTAGCATAGGAGGAATTACTAGAAAAGAAATAGAGAAAAAACCCATGAGCAGCTTTCTGATACTGTTATAAAAACATCATATATCTGCATCTTGAGTCCTGTGTGCCTTAAAAAGGTTATGTTAAAACAGCAAAAGCTGTAGAGAAAGGCAACAAATGCAATCAAATATACAGGAGATGTAGTGATTGTGAACCATATCTTCATGTTCCTTCTACGAAAGGCCTTGAAGCCATTTAAAGATACAACTTTTATGCTATTCATTTTCTGATTAAAATAATCTTCTGTAAGTGATTTTATGATACATATAAATATGTTTAGCAGTCTTCATGGCTAAAGTAAGGCTTTTCTCTTAGGCAAGGGGAAGGCTATACATGTAAATTCGGATTCCTAATGCATTTCTACTAACTCTGCGCTTACATTCCAACAGAATTAAGAAAACCTCTATTTTTAATATCTTCTTTTTTATCCATTTCTTTATCTTCTCATTTCATTTCTTACTTCCTTATTTTTCCCTTTATTTTTCTTTTTTTGTGGGTATATTTTTGGCTGCATTTTTCTCTTGTATTTGTTTCCTTTGCCTTGAACTTTCTCCCAAATGCTTCAGTTTTGTTCTTTTTATCTAGACCTGCATATATACATTGAATCATCATTTTGCTCTCCTTCCATTTCTACTTCCTTTCCTCTTCTACTCCAGTATTTATATTTTCCCCTTTCCTCCGTAATGTTCCCATTTTTCCTCAGCATTTGTTGATGTCTCTCTTTCCCCATGTACTTTCCTGTCTTTCTCTAGGTATTTGGTACTTTAGCTCAGGAGGAAGGACTAAAGAGGGACTTGGGCCTTGAGCTTTTTCTTGATACTGCAAAACTGGGTAGAAAGTACCTTAAAACTGTGGGGGTCGAGGTATCTCCTAACTGACCTGTGGCATGAGGATGACAGAGAAAATAAAGTCCTGTTTAGCAAATCTAACTTCTCCTAAAAATTCAGGCTCCATCATTCCATCTGGGAACATGATAATATAATGGGTTGTTACAAGCTGTTAAAATCTGAGACCAAGGAGGGAGAATAGGCTGAAGTTATTCCATGGATTGTTCCATTCTTTGTGAGAGGCTGTTAAAATAAAGCAACAATATAAAAGATGAGTTATATACAATTTAATGTAAAGCTGTTTGATGTCATTATGATATTTCTTCCTTGATTGTCTAACATTTGTGTACTTCTAAAAAGTTTTACATTTTTTGGTTCTTTCTGAACATTATGAAAATTGTACTGAGAGGAGTAAATTCATCTGCATAAAATTGACTGCAAAGAGCAATTAGTCCTTCATTAATATGCAAATTTGGTCCAGTGCAAATTCATCTATATATGAGGCTTAAATATGCAAGTCAGTCTTGCTGTGCAAGAAGCCCAGATGCTTTTATTTACTTTGAAATTGAGGGATTTGGTTAATGATGTTGTTGACAGGAAAACTTGAATAAATTTGATGATCACCATCTTTCATATTAGACGAGGCCCATGGAAAAAAATTACCAAGTAAAATACCAATTTTATTTGGTGATTTCCTATTACCAATGTAGTAATAAAATGTAAGATACAAAGTAATAGAGTTAAATTTCCTAATGTAGTTATCCTGAGACTTAAACTGTTCCCCAAAGATAGAACCATTTTTCTTAAACTTTGTTTTTCCAGAGGGTAAAGACATCTACGTAAGCTGTATGAATAACATACTGCCTAGAGATTTAATATTGGAAAGTTAGCTCTGTTGCTTGTTTCGTTTGGAGAGAGTATATACGCCTGGGAATTAAAAAACAGGAGCTTTGAAAATGGCTGTCATCATCATTTTCCATTAATTATCTGTAGCGACTTCTCAAGACTTAGTGTTGAGGCTTTTTCTGAACTTGTGGAGCCAAACTGGAAGCTGTCTGAACACATGGTCATTTATATTTGGATCACCTAAGTTAAGTAATAAACATTTTCTTAAATATCTTTAAATCTTTCCATCCCTCAGTAACACAACTTTCTTACTCCTGTCACCCAGCATAGATTGGCTGGTCTTGCCCCTTCTCTCCGTGCTTCTGCCCCATGTGCCATGGTTCTTTTGGCACATCCAGAATTTCCCTGGTTTTGCCCATTGATGCCACAGCAGCCGTTACTCAGTTGTGTGTGGATAGGGTTGCCTTTGCATTTGTTAGTCTTGTTTCATCTGCATGGAGAGGGTGCCAATGTTATTCCTCCTGGTGTTTCTTCCTTTTTCTTTCTCTGTAGTTCACTCAGACCTTAATTTAGTTTTGGCTTAAACAACCTGGTCTTTGACTTCAGCTGTGCACTCTTTATCCTGGGCTCAATTTGGTTTTCTCTGTCGCCTGTGACACTTTCAAAATAGAAAGGGAATGTAGTTTAAATGCACAGAACTCTATGGCAATTTATAAAGCTCTTGTTGTAACTACCCAAGGACAAGTTAATAGATTATGCTGTTTGATTCCTCTGACTTCTTGGCACAGCTGCTTGGGGTATAAATGCTCACAGTGGTGAGCATTTAGTTTCCAAATATTTAATGTGCTGTGCTAGGCAAAAAGCTTATAGGACGATGTTAAGGAAAAAAGAAAATCTAATGAGACACTAAAATTGATGTGTTTGCTCACTACATGGTGCAGTCTTGAGGTGTGTCCAAAAGCAGGAAAATAGAGAGAGAATTGAATATTTGGGAGGAGAAGGGGAAGAGTCTGTTAGTCTTGTAAAGGGTCTGGTTATCGTTCAAGGGAATCTCCTTTCTTACACTGAAATAAGGCATTGACAGCTGTCAGAAGGCATAGTATAGAGGATATACTTCCAGTACTTAATACTTTAGGGGGTGAAAGTTCAAAACCACAACATCTTCTGAGACTTAAATAGTCTTTGCCTTTGAGAACACGTCATAGCTGGACAGTTTCTAGTATGGTTCAGTGCCATCCACAGTGATCTTGGTTTTCTGATCTAGCTCCCAAAAGAAGGAAAATATTAATTTTCCAATATATGAACAGTAGGCATCTCAGCACAACCTGAGGTTGTCTCCTATCAACTATATAATCTTTATATTCTAGATTAATAAACACTTTAGCCTTGGAGTTTATTAGTCCAAAATATATTTATTACCTCATAAATTCAAACCCCCTCCAGTTATCACCTAATTAAACTGCAACACTGTGCAGGCTATCTTTGGGGATGTATTAATAATGAAATTATCTTGTGAAACAGTAATTACATGCTTTGTGCATTCTTTTCCATACTTTTTTTTTTTCAGTGTCTATGTGATGAGTGGGGCACACAGTACTCCATTGTTCTGAGCTCCTCCAAACTCCATACTTACCCAAGGATAAGCAGATTTATTTTTTTCCTCTTAGAAAAAGAGAGAAAAGTTTGTGCATTTTTGCACTTGGGAAAGGGAAGGACCAATATCGCTAGGCTAGGAACAGTTATGAAACGTGATTGTGGAAGTAATTTTAGCTCATGTTTTCTCCTCGCTCTTTGACTTTACTCACAGGAATGAAAACTACTTGCAGGATCTATTCTGTAAGGCAGTTCTTACTGCAGTTGCCAAAAGTGAAGATGACCACTTTCTTTGCAAGAGAATATTCATTTATAGGCCTTCACTGGTGACGTAGAATTGAATAAAAGGAAAATAGTCTTAAAGCCTTCCTCGGGAGAGAGGTTTACTTGCAATTTTTTCAGTGGTGAGTGTACTTACTATGTTCTAATTTGTATATGTATTGGCTTTATGTCACCTAATACACTGGGTGATTGTGTATTGATAAGATTTCTTTGGCTCATTTTTTTTTTCTGACTCTCTACAGAACAAGGTATTCAGAATCCTGGCTAGCGTGCACTTGCCCAATAATGAAAAAGGCATAAGTGACAAAACGGTTTGTGCATAACTTCCATGTATTTTTTAAGTAGTTTATCTCTGTAGTTCAAGTACGTGTGTTGAGCAATAATCTGAGCATGTGATTCTTGTTGCCATGGGCTCCTGCTCTACCTGACAGAAGTGGGTTTTCATTCTCTGTTATACTTCCAGATGCTGTAATCCAGAGGCTTGTGTTTTCAGCATCCATGTGTTGGTGGAACATATTATATAGTTGATTTTTTGTATATATAGACAGATTACATAGTCGATAAGAGACAACCTCAGGTTGTACTGAGATGCATACTGTTTATATATTTAAAAATTAATATTTTCCTTCTTTTGGGAGCTAGATCAGAAAGCCAAGATCACTGTGGATAGTACTGAACAATACTGGAAACTGTCCATATCAGCATGGCAGATGATATGTCTGCCATGTCATCTTGTCATTTGTATGGCCTTTTGGTTGTTTCACTGCAATTACTGTGGCTATGCAGGTGTTTGCATTTAGAGGAAGGGCACTTTCCATCAGTTTTTTCACTGAATCTTTTAGGTCTTTCTGGCACAAGAGGTGTTTTGCCTTGTCCCTAATTTTCTATCTACAAGCTCTACAAGTGCTGCAGCCTTATTGAAAAGTTATACCTTTGTGAAATGTGCTAATCCTCAGACTATATCCAGTACTCAACAAACATCAGTCAACCTTCATAAAGTTCTTTATTTAAAGAAGACCTTTTTTGACTAAGTGTGTTGGAACTCTTGATATGTGGACAAATAGAACCATTTTATCCTGGTCAGATCATAGAATTCTGTAGGTATTTTGTAATTTTATATTAAGTAGGGATCATTCACTTCATATGAAGGGTTTTGATTCAGCTTACAGCTAGAACTCCACTCCTACACTGCACATGCAACTTAATGCTTTACTTGCATTTTGCATTCATTCTGGTGAAGGTTTTCAGGTCTTCTATGTTTGTACTATTTCACTGTAGAGTCCCACAAGACTTCTGCAAACAGAAAGGCCCCCTGTGCTGCCCCACTAAATTGTTTGTCATTGATATTTAATTTGCAGACTTTAAAATAAGACCCCATTCTAATGTTGGGTTTCTTTTTCCTGATGTGAATAAATTCAATACAGAGTACTTGCAGAGATGTGTGTTGTCAAGCAATTGTATCAGGTGAAACGTACTGGATTTCTTTTTCTCTTTTTCTCACCCCCTAACACCTGCCTGTATTTTACAGTAATTGTTTTGAGTCTGTAAGTTCTCAGTTTATGGAAAACATGATGGCTGAAGGTATAAAGAAGACAACATTGAGGATTTTCCTCACTTATGGTGATTACTCTGAAGACAAACACAGCTCAGAAGACAAATGTTTTGAGCTACCTGTAAGTTCTGGTCCACAGAACAGATAAGGAGCCAGGAATACTTCTGAACTTGCAAATGAAATTTATCCTCAATGTAATGGTTGAGCTCGTTGTCTGCTGCTCTTTCTAAACGTGAAGTAAGGAATTAAATGCTCATATATTCTATATAGAACAGCTGACATGTTTTATGCATTCCTGTGTTTGCCTAAAAAGTCATGGATAATCAACTTAATTTGATGTGCAAAATATAGTGCATGGATGAATTCTGATACATATCCCTGGCCATGTCTGCGCTGTTACGAGAGGCAAAAACTTCCAGAAAAGAAACAGCCATGAAAATCTTCCTGATAGTTTTCTCATCGTTTTTTCTCCAAGGACATACATGTAGGTGGGTTCTCCAGTGTTTGTTTTTTACCCACCCTGAATGGTCGTTCTGTATGTGTCAATTATTTTCTTGTGGTCTGTCTTCCCCTATTAGAAATGAAACCTACCTTATCACTTCAGATGTTTAGTCCCTATAATCTGAACTAGGAAATGCTGACACCTTTCTCTTTTAGACTTTTTAATAATTTAAATGTATGTTTAAAATATTTTTTAATCCCCACATTATTGCTGTTGTGCAGCAGAACAGGCAGGCACCAGTAGCAGAGACAGATGTGACTGTAACAGAGGTTAGCATTTTATAAGTAATACCCTGGGTGTAATGAGACTTATGGTCTTAATTAACTCTTCAAATGTTTTTAAGACAACTGGAGTAAATAAGTTTAAAATCTAATGTACTTGCCCTAACCCTATCAGTTTACTTTTTGCCTTGCTTATTTTGGATGACAAAGCCCCAGATTGGTCTTATTTTTGGAGAATTTCTCACAGAAAAGAGTATATATAGTTCTAGCAAAAAGGGAAATCTGTATGGGCAACAAGGATGAGTGATAAACCTGATGAGGTGGGGGTGTGTGCAAAATCAGTCTGTGAGGTTAGATTTAGTTCTATATTAGTCTATTCCTGCCTTGGAAATGCGTACTTTTGCCAGAATATCCACCAGCATTAGGTAGACTGACAATTGGTCATAGGATTTCATATCCTTTTGGTTGTTGTGTGTAGTTGGTGTATCCTTTTGCTGGAAAGAAACAGCTGGATATTTTCTGTCATAATGTGACCAATCCACCTCTGTTGTTGTCATTTTAATTGCTGTGGCTGTTTTTTTAAGTCCTCTACAGAAGGTCTTTGTAGTGACAAGCGAACAGTTTACGCTTCATAAGCAAACATAAAGAATGCTGCTGCTAATTGGAGAGGGTGTAATGCAGTTATGATTCCATCAACATTTAAGTTACAGTGTTAAAGGACATGGTTTTACTTGTGTTTATGTTGCACATAAAATTTTACTCAGGGTGAATTTGGTGGGGAAGATTTTATAATAGGAAAGACTAATTCCAGGATTAGGGGGAAGGGAGGGAGAGAGAAGTTTAATTTTTCTACCCTGCATATACAGGATTAAAGATCAGCATTTTATTACTCTTTCTGTTTATTATAACTGTTAATTGCTGGCTTGTGGAATAACTTATCAATGAAAATGGAAGGACTGTCACAGCCTCAGAAAAGCTCCTGAATAACTGTAACCTCCCTGAATAACTGTAACCACAGTGTTTCATGTTGGAGAGGACTCTTCCAGAGTCAGCAGTTTCCCAAAGGAGGTTGTTAGTCAGTAATTCAGTTTTTTGGTTTTTTTTTTTTTTCCTAGATATTCTTCATGTGGTATCTGCCGATCTCCCATCTTCTAGAAGTCTGAAGAACCTTGTTTTAAACCTTCCCTTTTTACCTAAATTACATCTCCATGGAATACTTGACTGTGGATTAATAGTTTTACAGTTATATAGAATCATAGAATAGTTAGGGTTGGAAAGGACCTTAAGATCATCCAGTCCAACCCCGCCTGCCATGGGCACGGGCACCTCACACCAAACTACGTCATCCAACACTCCGTGCACCCTGGCCTGAACACTGCCAGGGGCAGAGCATTCACAACCTCCCTGGGCAACGGGCCCAAGATAATTTCCTCTTCACGCTTCTTTTGTTTGTTTGTTTGGGATTTTGTGTGTTTTGTGGGTTGTTTTTTTTTTTTTTTTTGGTGTGTATGGATTTATTTGTTTTGGTTTTGGCTTGGTTTTGTTGTTTTTTTTTTTTTACTTACAACTCTCTTCTCAGGCCACAAAATGTGTGGAACCTCATTTTGAATAGTCTTGGGAGGGCTAAATGTGCTTCCTTTTCCAGTTCGCTTGCTAGCTTGTTGGGTTTTAAAAGATACAATTTTTTTATCATCTAAACAGGAAACCACAGCTATTTACATGAGAAGAATCAGAGACATGACAGGGCTTTCCCCCCAAACACTCTCTATGTAATTGCTGAAGACATTCCAAGCCACTCTAACGGAGTGTACTGTCTGCCAGTCATTATGCTCTGCTCGGAAGACCATCTGTTGCACTTCAAACATGTAAAGGTCTGCTATCATTTTTTGCACCAAACAAATCGGTTTCTTTGTCTGACATGCTGTAGCTCTTCAATGTGGACTAAAGGTAGTTTCAATTGCAAAGTGCAGAATACTCTGTTTTGTTACACTATAATAGAAAGGCATTAATCTCAGATTTCAGAAGACAAGCATACTGATTAAACTTCAATAATTTCAGTTTATTTGGCAACAAATTGTTAACAGCAACACAAAATCTGAAATATATTTTCTCTTAACTCAGCCAGAAGCACATTGTGAATGAACCATTCCACTGTAGGGGTATCCAGATTTAATGGATACTGACATCTGAATTAAATTACCTTATTTTAACTGAATTCTTTAACTAGCTTATTTTTATCTGGAACTAGTAACTCAAATAAACTTTCAGTGGTAAAGATAGAGTCAGCAGCTAGAAATGCTAGAACCTCTCTCATGATAACCATACGTCCTTTATAAGGATGTAATACTTGGTTTTACAGTCTTTATTTACGTGAGTTAACGAGGATCCCGTCCATGAGTAAAAGGTATTAAACAATGATTTGGTTTGTTTTTTCCTGCTGCAGATTTAAAGAGTATGTATGGTCATTAATCTCAGATTGGAGAAAATATGCATTCTGTATTCCCAGCAGCAAAGTTCTGTTCAGAGATTTCCAACCAGGGAAATACATAACAATTTCTGTCTGATCAGGGAGTGGTCCTATCTTTTCTCTCTCTCTCTTCTCCATACTGCATAGCAGCTAATGTTCTGGTCAGAAGTAATAATATGTTAGATCTTGAATGTCAGTAGCCCCCGAGATTCTGACAAGACTGTTCATGTGCATTCATACGTCTTAACCAAAGCTGACACTAAAGACAGCAAGAATTCTCATATTCCTCTTTTTATTGCCGTGCATTAAACTCACATCTTCTCTTGGAAACCTCTGCTAAAAATGACATATTCACCATCTGAAAAAAGCATTCTTGCAAAATCTAAACAAAGCAGCTGAAGATCAATATGGCACAGAGCAGAGTCTCCTGTGGAAACTCCCAGTGCAAATCTAAACTATGTTTTACACCACAATTATGGACACCTTACAAATGCTGTAAGATAAATACTAATGGGAAATAAATGGTCCCCCAGTCTCGTCTCCCATGGGGGCTTTGCTGTTGTCATTTTTAATGACAAAGTAAGTGGTCTTCTAATTTCTTGAAACATGGAATGTCCTCATAGGAATGCTTGGATTCCAGTAACTTGAACTCATTGTTTTCTGAGAAACACATACTGTGTAAATATACCGCTGTACCTTTTATTCTGGACATATTTCCATACGTACTTGCAGTATGGAGTACAGTACACGTGTGGTTAATTTTGCAGTGATCTGATTGCATTGTTAAAGTTGGATAGACATTTCTTTATAGCTATGATATTCTAAATCTTCTTTTTGAAACTGTTTGGTAGCAGTGAGCAATGCTGACTAGGTGGCTCTGGGCATCCAGCCATTTTTAGGTAGTGTAATTTGTTAAAAATTATCTTTCTTCCCACCCAAATCCCCTTGAAACCATTTGGAGAAGAGAACTGTTGAACAGTTGCCAATAGTAAGTCCTGCTGAGACCTCTGTATCCTCCTGACAGAACTGTCGGTGCCAACTGGAGACTGACTGGCATGGGTTTGAACTCTCTACTACTTGATATATTTGCTTCACATGGACCAATTACAATAATTACCACCTCTGTAGCTGGAGTTTAAGCATTCAGTCTGCACTTCCTACCTCAGCTTGTTGGCAATATGTTCAGTCCTGTAATCTCGATTTTCTTTGAACTAATTAAGTAGAAAATAAAGACTTTGGAAAAGGAGGAGAGTCTGAATGGAAATCAAAGGCTAAATAATGTCACTGTTTTTCATGTTGCTATTGCTCTTCAGCTGCGTTTCTTTCATTTTAGTCTTTACTTCTAAAAGGTAGCATCTTCTTTTAAGTTTGTCCACAGAGGTTTACTGGGAGATGCTGGAGTCCATTGACTTTTTATATGCAACAGTGGACTATCTTTTAGTGTGAAAGAACAAGCGTTATTAAGTCCTACCTCTTGTTTTGATATTTTTCAAAACATAATTGTTCCTTTCCAGATAAATCCTTTTGACTAAAGGGGAAAATCATACATACATCCCTACATGTTTCAATGCAACTATGGGAGAGAGTACGATAGAACACAGGATGAGTAATGTTAACTGCCCAGTTCCTATGGATTTTGTTTAATTTGATGCAACGGGGATCATCTCACCCCTACCCCCACTACTGCTGTACTTCCAAGAGACCAGTTAATTTTTAAATGGGATCAGTAGCATTTTTTTAAACTGGTAAAGTTTATACTCGAGAAGGGTGACCATGAGATTGAGCACAAACTCACTGACTGTATCTTTCCTAATATGAATGCATTGTGCAGTGTATGTACTGAAATTCATATTAAAATTTCTTCATGAGATTCCCTCTAGGGAAAGGAAGAGCGAAGGAAAAGGCTACATGTGACAGATGCTAATTATGCAGCTTAATGCACTTCTGGAACTTGCAGAGATGAGAACTACATAAGAACCCATCTAAAAAATAGAAAGCATACTTTCAAGAGCATTTTTTCCACCTTTTTTTATCTGCCTCCCCCCCACTTTTTTAAGGAGGCTTTATTTCCCAAGTAGCATGTATAGTTTGCAAAGGGCAACAAGTTATGTATCGGGTCCAGAATTTGCCAGACATGGATACTATTGTATATGAAGTGAAAGGGAATGACTCCTAAAAATCTCCAGTTGATGTGTTGGTTTTCTTTCCTCTTTTGTCAATATTTTATTCTTTATCCCATATTTATGTTTACAGGAAAAATTATGTTCTGCACTTGTCTGTGCTGGGATCCTATCTAAGTATTTATGATGACTAATATGTAAGTACTAATGAAACGGATCTCAAACTGTATTTTACAGATAAGTAAACTGAGACACAGAAGCCGGGTTCCTCCAAGCTGTGAAGTGAATCGATGCCAAGCCCAGCGTTAGACACTAGATTAATCCTTTCTTCCAGAAATCGAGCTGTGTGGTTTCAGGCCAAAGAAATGGATTCTCAGTGAGTGAAGATTTGATGTCATCCTGAAATCAATGGGGAAATGCAAGGGTACATTTGCTGTGCATCAAGCCCACCCTGTTTTGTTGCACGGGATTTCTTCTCCCTCTCCCAAATCGCAGTTTTACCGAAGGATAATCTTTCATCTTAGAGGGAAAGCCATACCAGCTCTTGTGCACTAATGCCAAGTTCTGCTTTCTTTTATTTCCTTTCAAGCACTGGATTTCTCCTTCAGGAGGTGGTGTGACTTAATGTCATCTCCCTGCGCAGCGAGGTAACCACTCTAGCGACCAAAGCAGTGTGCTGAAACTTGGGAGAGCCTTGGTGTGCCCCTCGACACCCCTGGCAGCATGAGGCGAATTCTCCTCGCACCGCAGTCCTCGTCTGCAGTCGCCACAGAGAAAACCATCTGTTCCACTTGGAAAGGGTTGGGTTCCACACGCCCTCCCCCCCGCATCCCGGCTCCAGCCCCAGCTGCCGTGTTTCGATGAGCACTGAGGGGATGAGTCTCCTGTGTTAAAAATACTCTGGTTCTATTTGGATAAAAAGAAGAATCTTCCTTGCCTACACTGCCACACAAAAATAGTCTTAGTGTGAGTAAATCTTCAAAGTTCCTCTTGGTGAAAATATCTAGCCTTGCTTTTTTTTTCTTTAACTTCTCATATAAATTTATTTATAGAATGCCCTTCTTTCCTCCTACTCTACTGCAGAAGGTTGCCACTCGTCTCGTTCATGAGTCCTGAAATAAGTTGCAGGCCTTTGAAACATCATCATGTTGCATAGTTGTGATGCAATGTGCTGCTGTTGCATGAATGTATCATATTTTAATGTGAATGTCATGTTAGCTGAGACATGCACGGCTACCTTTATTTTAGGCATTTTACACTGATTTGTGTTTTCACTTTAACTTTGCAGTCAAAAAAATCTGTATGTAGCAACTTAAAATTTCACATTCTACATAGAAAAGTAGTATGTAATGAGAAGATTAGCAAGATGCAAATGCTTCCAAATATCTCTTAAAAATAGCTTTCACTGTCACTGTAGCACCTTAATTCTGAATAATTTCAAAGTCCTTCTGCAAATCTCTGCATAGTAACAGAGAAACCACCTACTTCATCCTCATAAACTGTACGCTATGTATCTGTGCATGAAAAAAAGATGGAATTTCAGAGTACAGTTCTGCTCCAACACATACAATGTCAGTGGGACTAGTGAAAGCATTAATGCTTGTGTTAAATATTAGTGCAAGCTTTCTAAACACTTGCATATCTTTTATTTAAAAAGGCTCTGAGAACTGTAGGATAGAATTTTGCTCCATGGATCTGGGGAAAGCTCTGCTAAAAGGTGAAGTTTGCAGTGCGGGTGCTGGGGTGAGTGCTTTACTGGTGGGGAGATGGGACAGGCTGTGCCCCGATTCTGACTGGCCGACGTGGAGGCATGGGAAGCATGCTCCGGGACGATGCTCAATTCGGGGGTCGACAGGGCCCACCGGCCCGGGGCCTGGCGGGGAGGCAGGACTCGAACCCGTGTCTCCACCGCCGCTGCGCACAAACCCGCGACGCAGGTTGCTGCGCCATTACTCGACACGGCCGCTAGATGGCGGCCTCCCAACGAGCAACGCGCACGGTTCCCAGGCGCGGAGGGCGCGCCTGGCGGACGCGCAGCGTCACTGCACCCTCCTTCCCCCAGCAGCGACGGCGGCCATGGCTGTGCAGCCCCACGTGACGGCGCGTCCGCCAATGAGAGCGCGGCAGGGGGGCCCCGACTCTCGTCCCTGTGGCCGCCATTAAAGAAAAAGGGTCTCGGAATTAAACGGCAAAAGAATCCCCCCCCCCCCTCCCCGCGACGCGACATGGGGGAGACGCGCTGAGGGGGAGCCAGGATGCCGCGGCCGGGCAGCCGCCGACAGAGGCACCGCTGAAGGGAAGCGAGGAAGAGGAGGAGGAGGAGACCCGCCGGCGGGGGCTTCGGGGCACCGACTCCGCCAGCAGCAGCAGCAGCAACGGCAGCAACGGCCGCCGCGTCCCTGTGTCTCGGCACACGGCGGGGCCGGGAATTGTGGCGTTCTGACCCCTTCCCCCGCGGCCCTTCCGGCTGAGGAGAGCCCCGGGCTCGGCCGCCGCCTCCCCGCCTTCACGAGAAGACCTCGGGGAGGGGGCCCTCCGCCCACTGCCCCCGCGGGGCCGCCGCAGCGGGGCGGCGCGGAGCCTTCCCGCAGCAGCCGCCGGCTCAACGGGCTCCCGGAGCCCCCTCACCTGAGGAGAGACGGGGCCGCCGCCCCGACGGGAGGGTCTCGGGGCTCGCTCCTCTCCCCCCCCGCGGAAGACAACGCTCCGCTTGAAGACTATCGTTTTGTATTTTTATTCCCCCCTCCCCCCTTTCTTTGCCGGTTTCGGTTTTTAAGGAAAAACATTCATTTTTTGTAAGGGACCAGCCCAGCTGCGAGGCCGGTCCCTCCTCGCCTCGCCTCCCCCCACCCGCTCGCAGGGGTCTTGCGGGGTTTAGGCGCGGTGGAGGGGGCCCTCCCTGCCCCGGAACCCCTCTTCCTCCGGCGCTCGGCGATAACTTGGCGGGGTCCGGGCTCCCCTGAAGAGACCCACCCAGCCCGGGGGACTCCGTGGGGCTCCCTCGGCCCCGAAGGACAGCTGGGGGGTGGGGGGGGCGAGCTTCCCTGAAGACACTCTGCGCTTTACCCCTGCCTTCTCCTCCGAAGAGACCGGGGATCGGCCTCCGGGAGACTCGTCCATCCTTCCCCGAAGAGACTTCGAGGGTCACCCGCAATTTCTTCCTTCCACCCTTCTCCCCCTTCTTCCATTCCCCAAGGAAAGATTTTTTTTTTTTTTTACCCAGCAGAGGATATTTTGGTTTCGTCCTCTCTGCCAGGACTATTTCGTTTTGGGGAGGGGGGGGGGGTTTCCACGGGGGAATTTAATCCCCCGCTGGGCTGCTAAGGAGACTTTTGCGGCCTTTCTCTCTCAAGGAACACCTTCCCCCCTTCGCCTGCCCCCGCAGATGTGTTTTTGGGGTGCACCCCAGGACATTTTTCGTGTCCTGCTTTTATGAATTCTCCAGACTCGCCCTCTGGCATCTGAAGTTTGGGTTTATGACATTAAATTTTAATTTATTCGGAATATTTTTGGAGCAGGGGAGAAGAATCTGACCCCCCCCACACCCTGTTGCCCTCGGACTCCGAAGAGACGAGCCTGGATTTTTCTCTCCCACAGCCAATCCTTCCCAGTCATTCCACAATTTGCCCCTTTTCTCGTCTGATGACTAAAGAAACAGGAGGAAGAGGAGGGAGGTTTCTGGATTAAATACCCCCACTGGATTATTTATTTTGTTCCCTACTACTCCTGCTTGGCATCTGAGAAGAGAGGAAGGAGGGATGTCAACTGATTTTTACCCCTAGCCCCCCTGGATTAATTACCCCGGTTTTATTCTCCTGTTGGATCAATTACCCCTTCACCTTACCTCCTCTCCCTCTCCTCCTTATGCGAATGAGAAGACAAGAGGAACAGGGAGGATTTTGATCTTAATCTCCCGTCGTTGGATTACTTACCACCTCCCTCTTTCTGCTCTCCCCTTCCACGGTGGTTTTACCCCCCCCGCGTTTACTATCCATAAGGAGAGAAAACGTTCCGAGTTTCCCTTTAATTTTTTTCTTTTTAAATCATTTTTATTTTTTTTTTCAGATCTGTTTTTTACCCCCTCTCCGGTACCGCTCTCCTCCCGGGTTATTTATCCTGCCACTATTTCGCGTGCCTGTGTGTCCCTATGTAAATCCCTTATTTAATTGTATTATTATTTGTGCGTGTGCAGAGTCCCCCCTCCCCCCTTTCCCTCTCGGTGTCTGTCTCCCTCTCTCTGTCTGTCTCTTTCTTTCTTGTCGGAGGCTGTGGGATAATGGCGTGTGGGTTGTGGCTGTGAGGATGAGTTCCTGCTTCGTGCCGAACGGGGCCAGCCTGGAGGATTGCCATTCCAACCTCTTCTGCCTGGTAAGTGCGGCCACCGGCACACACACACACACGGGTAGACACGGGGTGGGAGAGAGAGGAGGTTTGGGGGAGGGGAGGAAGGGGTAGTGGAAGCAAAGCAGCCATTTTTAGCATAGCTTCTGTTGGATGAGTCCTCAGAGTAGGCCCTGCCTGGAGCCAGCCAACTCTCCCATGCCCCTCTGGTTCCCCCTCCATCGCTGTCTGTCTCGCATTGCCCCTCCCTCCGGTTTCTTCCTGGAGAGTATCCTCCCGGCAACTCGCCTTTTCCCTTTCCTCGCCTGCAACTTTTCCTCCTTTCTCCCCATCTTCCTACCTCTGCTTCTGAGCCAGCTGTTTCTCGCAGGAGGTAAGGAGATCTGAGCCTTCTCCTTTCAGCCCCACGTCTCGGGGAACTTTATCTTTCATGTCCCCACTCGTGACATCCCAGAGAAATTGAGCCGAAACCGCCGTTCTTCCTAGCTTTCAAAGTGATCTCTTTTACTGCTTCTTCTTGTTCTGGAGGTTTGCTTTTGCTGATGCTCCCAGTGAAGCAGTGGTGTCTTGTGTTTTGTTGTGCACCATTTTGTAGTCTTTTTTTTCTTTTTAACCCAAGTATCAAATCGTTCACATTGTTGATTTTGGTAGCCCCCAAAGTAAATTTGATGTAACTGGGCTGTGATGCAATTTCTGGTGGCTGTGCAGAGCTGTTTCATCTGCTTTTTAATGCAAATTAACTGATCTTAGCTGGCTGCCTGGTATTTGTTATTCTGGAGGTTGTTATAAGTAAAAACCTGAGCCAAGCTGTGGTACTAATATTTTCGGGTGGAGGGGAACCTGGACAGCCTGAACATGTCTGCACCAGGCCTGTGGCTCCGTATCAGCAGTACATTTTAAGTCTTGGAGTCTTCCTAAAGTATCAACTGTTACAGAGTAACTTTGGCATAAATAGCTTGTTCTCCTGAAGACAGGAAGGCTGCCATGTTAGGTTTAAATGTTGCAGCAATGGTTTTGTGTGTTGTCATATTGGGAATTAAAAAATAGTGACTTCTTGGAACAAGGTAGGCTGGCATTTGCTCACTTCACCTGAAGAACCCTGGGGGCAGTGCCTCCCCTACATGCCTTAAGATGACTGTCCTCATGTGAAAAAGCTTAGCGTAAAACTTAGTGAGGTATTGCATTGTAGATACACCAGGAATTGTCTATTTCCTGTTACATATAGTAGTAACTCTCTTACTTTGTAAAGCCAAATGAATTTTTGCCTAGAAGAGGATTTAGTGGATCATAATCAACACCGACACAACCCTGATATGTAATTCAATGGTAAAACCAGGATTTAAATTCATAAAATGCGGTGTGAGGAATGAAAGCATGATAGCTTTTGGTAAAATAAGTATACCTGTGTGAGATACAGGGAGTTTTTACAATGAAGAAACTTGTGCTATCTTCCAAAGTACTAGATGACTGGAAGAATGTATGCTTGAGTTAGATTTACTTTATTATCTATTTCCCTAGAGTAATCTTGGGTTGAAAAGCTGGTGTATGCATAAGTGAGCAAAAAGGAAGGCGTTCTTTGCTAAGAGACGTGTTTAATAGATTGGACAGTTGCAGTCTGCAAATAAATATATTATTTTCTTGTCTTTCACTTTTTTATTT